TTTTATCATCATCTAAATGGCTTAAGTCTACTTCGTTAAGATGAAAATGATCGGACTTGTCACTCACACTGGGTGTGGGATGAACTTCTCCTAGTTCTTCTTCGTTTTCAAATATTACACCTACTGCCTGTACCTTTGGATTAAATTTTCTAATTTTATCTACGTGTACTCTTCTTATTGTACCATCTGTCAGTTTGACTCTGTAAGAATCTGGATTACAACGAGATACTATTTCTGCAGGTCCTATCCATCTGGCATATAATTCATTACCGAAATCTGCACTCAGCAGGTACACTTGATCTCCCGGATTGAATTCTTTTTATATAGTCCTTCGATTAGCATATCTTGCATATGCACCTTGTTTCAATTCTGCAATTATAGATGCTTGCTCTGCTGCTATTTCTAAATTCATTTTTAGCTCCTGTAGATTGTAATGTTGCGAGCTTCCAACCTTCACGCAACAATAGTGGTGACTGCTAAGAACTGGAAAGTAGACAAAGTCTTGAGAAGGGTTTAAATCCCTTTTTATTCAACTTTAGAAATTACAAATGCGTGCTCTTGACGCTCACAAACTACGCCTACCCGGCGGTAAAATAAAAATAAGAAACTAAGAAAAGAATAGTAACAAGTGACTAACTACGAGGCTCTCTAAACGTAACTAACCTCACCGCGTTCTAAAATACCGCTGATAATTCAGCAAACTTCTGAATATTACGTTGAAAAATTAACAATCTGCCGAGGCAAGCACACAGGCCGAAACGCGTGGTTCTTCAATTTCTAACTAGCCACCTCCACGCTCGTGAAGCAAGAAAGCACACTTTCGAACTCGTTTCCCTTCTATTTAACTCAGAATACTTCCGCTGACAATTTGAATCCTTGCGCGATCTACCAAAATTTACATACTCTGGCATTGGCAATTTCAGGGGAAAGTAAGGCTTGACAGGAAAGATAGTTTAAACTTAAAATAAATGTTAGTTAAAATAAATATAAACCCTACAAGATAATCAACAGCACTTTTACCCAATTTTATTGGTAATGGAATTTCTCCTGACCATGACGATTTTAATACTGACAACGGACCTCTGGCCTCTCTTCCATTCATTAATTTCAATGGGGATACTCCCGTAGTACAATTTGGAATTTCGCGGTAAGCGAAGAACAGGTATGGTATGTGTTTGGCCCAGTTTTTAGAGTCGTTTCTAATGATATGATGAAGCATACGTTTTAGAACTTGGTTATACCGTTCAACTAATCCCGAACTTTGTGGATGTCCTGGTGTTGCAAATCTAGGACTTGCTCCTAATCTGGCATGAAATTCTTGTGTTAATTCTGCAACAAAATTGCTACCTTGACCGCTAGCTATTACCCGAGGTGTGCCTGTTCTCATAAACATTTCTAATAATGCGTCGCATGTTGATTTTGCTGTAATTGTTCTCAAAAGGACAGCTTCTGGCCACCTAGAACGTTGATCGGCTAAACATAGTACATATTTGTGACGTTGATCGGCTAAACATAGTACATATTTGTGTTCTGACTTCTAACTGTTCCCAATTCTAATTCTTTCTCTAGCTGCGCTAATTTTAATTTCTCAAGTTCAACTTTTTGAGCTTCTAAGGTTAACTGTGTTTCCCTAGCTTTTATTTCATTTTCTTCTCTAATTTTTCTTTCCTCCACTATTCAGTTTAATAATCCAATTACAAATTCTGGATCATCTTTAAATGTTCCTCAATTTTACCTTTTAATTGGATCAACAGTTTGTGTATCTTCAATTTCACCAAGGTTTACTAAATCTTCTTTTTTTAGTATTCTTATACATTTTAATTTATATATATCATACATATATATATCTTCAATACATCTATACTTTAAGTAAAAAAAATCAAAAGCTTCCTACCTGCTTCTCTTGAAGTTTCGCTACTGTCATCTAAAGCTCTGGTTCAAGTGAGAGAGTATGTAATATCACCCCTTTCTTCATCCTCCGCCTTATAGAGAAATAACTCCAACTTTTTGTATTTTGAACATTTTATTGCACAAACACAAAACTAATACTAAACTACAATACTAATAACTGAAATAGTATATAAAGTAATACAAGTTAATTTTGGTTTCATTAATTGCTCCCACAAGCTTTCCCTATGACCTTTCTGTCGGTCTCCCTCTTGGAAACTAAACTTTTGATGCCTTCAGATTGAGAGTTAGCGCCCTCTCTATATATCTTGTTGGTTGGCGTCACCCATACATCACACCTACCAAATACGAAGATACAAAGAGCAGTAAGAAGGAGTTTTATGTATAGTATTTTTGCATGTCCAATGATGATACAAATGGCATTAAGTATACCAGTGCTCCGCAACCGCTGTGCCATGAGTAGGATATAGGTGTGCCGCAATCAAATACATGTATTTGACATTTTGCAATTTTTTATCATGTATTTAATGCACAATGACATTTTTTTACTTAATAATGTCTATTTTAAATGTTTTTATATATTTCACTGTTGTGTGGTTGTGTGTGTGATTGTATGTGTGTCAGCATTTGAATTTTTTCGGCACTTCCTTGATAACTCGGAACTCTTTGGTGTGCCACGAAATTCCAGAAAGATTTTTTGTGCGTCGCAGGAGAGAAAAGGTTGCGGAACACTGAAGTATACAATTCTGATAGTGGTATAGACACACTAGTGCTTTGAAAAAATGTAAGGGTATTAGCACCCCAAATTTTTTATACAAATACCCCCATTGTCACCCCAAATTTTTAAAAAATGCTTAATGATTAATAAAATTTTTATTTCATACTCACCAAGTACTTATATATGACAAATTGTATATAGAGTACTTACATATGACAATTACTTAAAATGAATTAAAACTATTTAGGCGTGGTACCAGGACAGCCCACCACCCCTGATTTTGGCTGCCCACGTACTTTTATGTCCTGCAGCTCCCCTAGGAACTGCCCTGGGTATTAGATACATCAAGTAACAGGTAAGCATCAGGAAGTAACTGCCCACATGAGAATGTTGCATAAGTTCTCATATATGAAAACAATTTGCCCAAAATAAACTGGTATTTAATGCAGATATACCTGTTTTTGTTTTGTTTTGTTTTGTTTGTTTGTTTGTTGATATGTTGCTTTTTAAAGCATTTTGCCAATATAATTTTACCTGAAGGAATGTGTGGACTTCATTTTTGAATCCTGATTATTATAATTAAGTTATTTTGGGCAAACTGTTTTCATATATAAGAACCTATGTATCATCCTCATGTGGGCAATTACTTCCTGATGCTTAGCTCTTACTTAATGTATCCAACACCCTTACGTTTTTTGCAAGGCACTAGTTTTTCCATACCACTATTGGAATTGATGTACTTGATGTCATTAGTATCATCATTGGCCATGCCAAAATACTGTACATACAATTTAAATTCGTTATAACTTGTTTAAATTGTGTGACGAAAGTTTACGCATCTTTTACTGAATAATACAGTACAAAGTCCGTAATCCAGACTAGGATTAGGATTTTCCGGATTAGGGGTTTTTCCGGATTTATAGATCATGAATTTGAATCTGGTAAGATGGCATGCAGAAATTATACAATTTAAAATATGAAACCATAATTTATGAAATAAAGAGCAATTATGATCTAAAGGTTATCAAAATTTACAAAAAAAAAAAAAAAAAAAGCTTAATATTTATTTGTTTACTTTATTAAATATTTCTTTCAATGTAAATTGTTTAATTTCTTTGTTTTTTGTGCTAATACTTTCTCTTTAATTCTATAAACAGACCTCATTTCTTGTTCAGTTACAAAGTTACACTGTTCAAGTCCTGTAATTGCTGTTTCGAGAATACCAAATAACTTGTCGATTGAAATTTTTTCGTTTTCAATAACCTCTCTGTCACTTTCTTCACTATAGGAAGTGGTATTTTCTGGATCTAGAACCATACTACGGATTTAGCCGTCCGTTAACTGATTGATGACTGGGGCATTGTCGTTGCAATGAAAAACATGCTTTCACTTTGTAGATCCTTTGGCAGCTCCAGAATTGGAAACTCTTTTTGACATAATCGAAAGTTCAAGCTTAATATTTATAAAATTGCTCTAACAGTCTGCAAAAAGTAATAAGGCGGATCCAATTAGAAGATTAAGGAACTGCACAATCTGCAACATTAACTGAAATGCCTAGAATCAGTAAAGATAATTTTAGCCTAGCTTATACCATCCGTTATCGTACATTAAACGCGCAAAAAAAAAAAAAGTTTGTGGCTTTGAGGTCTGGATTGTAAATTATTCCAGATAATGTATGTCCGGGTTATGGACTTTGTACTGTAATTAAGCATAGACAACCCCAAAACAATTCCAACCAGTTCAACTACCACGCCTGAAGAAAAAATTCTGGAAAGTGATATTTCACCCAACACAGTCTTCTGATATTACACCAACAGCTGCAATATCTGAAGACTAATGTTTGAAAAACAAATTTTTCAAACATTCCAAATCATCAAATGAAGTAAAAGATGTACAATTAGCATAAGAAATTTTTTAAGAACTTGTATTGCCAAATACTACCGACATACATTACACAAACAATGACTAATCACTGGACTTCTTCCCATTGGTATTTCTTATTTGATAAAATAAAGAACTATTATAAGTGATGTTATTTATAAAAAGTTTTAATAATAAACCAGTAACAAGTTCAATATACAATAGTATACCATATGCGTGACACTCAGTTCAATAAATGAAAAAACAATTGTGATGCAAAAAAAACTTTATAATCACAATTTTAGTAAAGAAAAACCTACACCTATCAAAAAGAAAAATAGTCTCTCATATCAAATAGGATATATGTCTGTACATTTTTTTAAAATTATTTTGGCTTTTTTTCTTTATTTTGGCTTTAAATTTGCTTTTTTACTTTTATACGTTTGTTAAAATTTAAATTTAATTTTGTTTAAATATATATATATATATAAAATATACTTATATAGAATATATACTCATAAATAATGATATAATAATAAAAAAAATTTATTTCTCTCTCTCTCTCTCTCTCTCTTTTTTTTTTTTTTTTTTGGTGCTCCGGGGAGGGGGGGTCCATTTCTTAATGATATAAAACCTAGATATAAAACACGTAGAATTTTTCTCTTTTTTTTCTTCCGCCCCCCTAATTATTGCCTTTTATTTTAATGCATATAACTGAGAACAAATGTTCTTGTGTACTTGCTCAGGAAACAAGAGGGTTAAGCTTCTTTCTTCTTTTGGCAACTGATATATATTCTTTAGCATGATGAGCTGCAAGTAAAGCAACAGCTTCTTCAACCTATAAAGAGAAATAAATTGTGTGAATTTTTGTAAACAGGTCAATTCTAAACCTGCCATAAGTAAAAGAATTGATTTTAAATAAATGAAAATACATTAAATATTTAAAAAGCAAAATTAAGTCATTGACACAATTAAAAAAAAATTCAATCTGTGCATAAGCTCACACAAGCAAACAAACTGCTATAACCAGTTTTTTATATTAGAATTTTAAAAGAAAATGGGATAGGTTGAAAAACTTGTTTTAAATATTGCACACTTTTACTTCTCATACGAAACTTCAGACAATTAATAATTAAAAAAGACATTGTGGATCTTTTAGTATCTTCTATCATATAATTCCCCTTTTGATTTACTGTAAATATTGTTATTCTAATAAAAGGAACTGATAAAACAATAACATCAAATTTTAAAAAATGATAAAAATTTTCATTCTTTTTAGCAATTAAATTTTTCTCATTTTTTGCTAATGAAATCATTTAGATCAAAATATTGTAATGTATATTTTTCTCTATGTTTCATATTGACAAGTAAAGTTATTAATCTAATATTCTGCAGTTTAAATTATAAGCATGTTTCATAAAAGCATGAAGACTATATGAGATTTAAGTTAATATCTGAACATTATTAAGCAGACAGAAAATTTATTTTTTGAAACTCATAACTATATATGTACTTACTTTAGCATTCAGTAACTCTTGATGTTCTAACATATGCAACAATTCAGAATTATCCAATTCCAACAACATTCCAGTGATCTTTTCAGCCTTCTGAGGATACCAGCGATGTATTACAGGAAACAATCGTTCACCTAGCATTTGCTTCTGCTCTTGAGCATTGGCATCTGCTAACATGGAAGCAGTTAAAGGTTCTTGGCCTCGTATATGCATGGCTTGCTGAGTCACAGCTTGTTGAACTCTTTGAGGCTGTGGTGGATTATGCATGTTAGAAGTATATTTTGTATGTGGCTGGTCTTTGATTGACATTTGCAGAAGCAATGCTAGTAGGTCGTGCGGCACCTACACCAGTAGGACTCATTGCAGCAACTCTTTTTCCAGATACAGCAGTGGGTTGTTGGCCTGTTATGGGTCGAGCATTCATACCGGCTCTCATTCCTGGATTTTGCGAAGCTGCAACTACTGGACGTGCAGCTGCTCTAGCAAACTGCATAGCTTGGGATGCTAAAAAATATTTTAAAATTGTCATACATGAACATTAATGAGCTTTATGCAGAACATTAGAAAAAAACTCATGCATGGATTGAAAACTGAAAAGCAAATAGGTTTAAATATAAGAATTCTTTGCAAGTCCTGTGTGATTTCAGAATTGAATAAGATGTTCATATTTAAAGCCTACTACAAAATACACTGGCTTTTTTGTCCGAAATACATTACTTCATAATACAGCAAAAAGTAATAGATATATATTCTTCATATGAGTAGTAACAAGTAGTTGATCATACACATGACAAGAAGAGTTTTAATAAACAATAAGAAGAATTAAGAAGAGTTTGTTGAACTTTTAAAAAGAAATATTTATCATTTTATGAGTGACATAAACTATTATAAAAACAAAGATTGGACCAGTGCTACTAGATAAATATGAAAATTTCTCGAGATTGTTACAAGATCATTTTGGAACATCTCATCTGTATGAAAGACATGAAATATTGCATAACAAAATTAAGCGTTGTAAGTTTGATCATCATCATTCCAACTACTTATAGTACCCTTTTCATACCTGCCAATTTCAAAATCTTAAAAAAAAAAAAAAAAAAAAAACTTTTTTTTTTTTTTTTTTTTTTTTTTTTGAGAGTGCCTATTTGTGAATACCAAAAGAAAGCGAGAAGTTTTCATGCTGTGTGGTGACACAATTTCAAAGGAATTCGAAATGTAATGAAATTCGCTTTAAAATACATGGCTGAGATTGCTGAACTTATAATAATATGATTCTGTTTGTAAAGTACATTAATACAAATAAGATATTCTAAATTTTACGTTCTTTGACTAATTAAAATTTTTATCATTCTTACATTTTTATGCTTAGAAAATCTCAAGTAACAAAAGAAAGCTTTCATTTATCAAAGAACTTTTAAAATGAAGAAAATAAAATTTAAAAAATATATATAAATGTAAAAAAAAAAATCTGAAAGGACTTTAAATTACATCCAAAAGGGCATTTTTTTAACATTTTGTGTGTTACGTTTATTTATTAAATATCATGTTCTTTGCACTTAAACCATAAAATTCAGTTCAATAGCAATGTCTCAAAATAAATTTTAAATGAGCATATCTTCAGAATTTCCGATACACAGTTCCGTGCGCTGGAGATGAAAAAGTTATTTTCCCCAATTGAGTGTTGCCACTTTTTGCTTTTAAATCGTTGAGTTTGTTAATCAAAAATTCGCTAAAGTTTTACAAAATATGAAGCACAGTTTTTCAGCTCTCTAAAAGCTAAAAAATTAAAAATCGTGGGTATCATCATTATGATAACTCATAATATACCTTTTCATCACAATTGTATTTCAAATTCCAGTTTTCATTTCTAAAACACTTTTCCATTTATCAGTAAGCTTAGTTTAACAAAAATCATGAAATGTTACCTAAATAAACTAAGCTTTGTAAGTTTGATTATCATTAACATGACTAGACATATCTTTTTAATGCAAATATACTTCCAATTCTAGTATACTTTCTAAAATAAAATTTCTTTTCCATTTATCAGCTAGCTTACATTAATAAAACTTTTATGCAAATACTACTAATTAAAAAATATTTCATAATATAACATCTTAAGAACAACTATTACATATACACAGAAAAAGTACCTGCAGCTGGTTGACCTCCTGGTCGCATCTGAGGCTGAGTGGGCCATCGATAAGTTGCACGCATTTGATCCATTTGTGGGAAGTAACTTCGCTGAGCTTGACGTATAGTTGGTACAAAATAGTTGGTACATTGGTTTAACATCCGTCCCAACTAAAATGCAAATTTTATTTTTAAAATACCTAACAGCATAAGTCAACGAAAGCTTTTAAATACAGAAAAATGTATACATTGGCAACTCAAGTATACTTAAACAGCTCAAGCCTTATCTGAAAATTAACATAAAGACGTCAAGGTGCTTAAATTTCCTATGAAAAGTACCAATTTCAAATCTGGAATGCCTTTACTTGCTAACTCCATATAAAAAGAAAGAAAAAACATTAGCATTAATAAAATAAAAAATATAAGGTCAAATATCTATTTCATAACCCAAAATTTCAGCCAAATAATTTCTACCACATCCATTCAGGCCAAATTCTAAAATTTCATTAAAATTTTTTGAATGTCATACTCATACCAACCTCGAAAAACAAAAAACTGGGATTTTTATTGCTGCATAGCGACAGCATTTCAAAACAACTCCAAACTGACTTTAATTCATTTTATAATACATCATTGAGGTTACTGACTATGATCATAATACGATTCTGAAGTAATCTGTTCTCATTAGACATAAAATGATTATCGGATTAAATGAAGATAAGATTCCATATAAATAAAAATATTTTTATGTATTTCAGAACAGAACTTCCTTGACACTATATGAAGAATCATATGCAGGAGAACATAATAAAATGCAATTAAAATGTTTATTTTTGTAAAACCTTATATACTATTTATTCATACATGCAAATTATGAAAAAAAAATTGTAATTAGCAACCCATCTTCCTAGTATACACAAATTAAAATCAAGATTTACTTCAAACACATGCAATTTCACCGACAACATGTGAAAAAACCCATCACGATATGAAAACAGAATTTATTCTGGAAACACCACATCATGCTTAACATCTTGAATTACATTAATTAACATTTCAAATTACCATAATTTTTTCATATCTTTCAAAAAATTTTAAAATTGCTTTTCTTATAAGCTGGAATTAGAAGAAGGTTAAATAATGTGCAAAATAAAAAAATGCCTACAATAAAAAGTATCTACCTGCATGCGCATCCTGGCCATCTGAGAAGCTAAATGAGCTTTGCGCTCTTCTTTGCATTGAGCTAAAGCAACATACAAAGGTTTAGACATAACAATTTGCCCATTCATTTTACTTAATGCTTTAGTTGCTTCTTCTGCAGAGCTAAAGCAGACAAAGCCAAATCCCTTGGAATGTCCATTTCTATGTGTCATGACCTAAAAATTTATTTTCCAGAAATATAATTATCAACAGAAGTTAATATTAAAGGTGATCAACTATAATTCTCCAAAATTACATGTAATAACAATGAATATTAAAATTATAAATGATTTTAATAATTTGGTTTCATATAAGAAAATATTTTTAAAAAACCTACTTTAGCACTAGTTATTGTTCCAAACGGTGCAAATTCTTTTCTTAAGCATTCATCATCAATAGCATTATCAAGATTCTTAACATATAAATTTCTACCCTGGTATTTGTTCATACGTTCCATTTTCAACAACTGAAATCTTTGTTTCAATTCTGCTGCTCTTTCTGATTTCTTTTGTGCACGACCAACATGTAAAGTCTTTCCATTGAATTCTTTTCCGTTGAGATCTTCAACAGCCTATTTTTTAAAAAAATGCAACATGACATAGGTAATATTTTTAAAAAATTAATTATGCATTTAGTTAAAATTCACAAGGAATCCCAACACTATGCCACCACCCTACATTCAAATTATAAAGTACATATAAAAAATTATTAGCATACCCACAAATGACATATATCTTGGGGAAATTATCACCTATTTGGGTAATTACTGTATCTCCATTTATCAGATAAAAAAATACCCAAAATTCTTACTTACACATTAAACAATCCTGTTGAATATATGTGCAAAACTAGGTCATATGAAAAAGTCACAGCAACTACCCCTCCCCAAAAATGATTAATACCTCACTCACTTTGTTCGACTATAAAAAGAAAAATATTAAATAAGTCACCTGGTATACTCTAATAAACTTTTGTTTAACATAATTGGAGTACCAAACTTCTGATGACTGTGACATTATATATTCATTGTCATATCAGATAACAGAAATTCAAAATTTTAGGATACTCGACTAACATTAAAACTAATTTTGTGTTCAGGAAATATATTTTTTCCCAGTATAATTTTCCAAAAAATTCAGCCATGTTAATGAGAGGGGGGAAGCTTCCATTACAGTATCACAGATGAAAAATAGATACAGCATTTGTTGGACAGAATGAGGGTAATAATGGCAGCTATTGATGTGAAAATCTAAAAGCAATTAAAACAGTTCAAAAATTAATAAAAATGTTATGCTACATATTTTCACTACCTAATAAAGTTCTACAAGTTTTCCTAAATACATATTTATTCAAAATTGTCTACAAACTGCATACCATGAAATAATTTTTCATTCGCTTGCATGCTGCAATGATGTCATATGAGATGTGTACCTCATGAAGCAAATCAAAGACTGTGGTACTCTTCTGTTATCAGCACTGGATTCAGAAATGTATGCATGGATGGATGGATGTATTCATGTATGCATGTGTGTATGTATACACATATAAATATACAGACATATATATATATATAAACACATGTATACATTTCTGAATCCGGTCCCGACAGCAGAATACCAAGACTGCTCCCAGATTTAAAATACTTAAATCCAATAAAAATGTATACATTTCAAAAGTTTTTATGAACTTTGAAGTTTGTAATACACAGAATAATTTGCTTTACATTTAGAACAAAACTTTGCAATTTGTTTTAGGTTAGAAAAAATATCTTTCAGAAGCTTTAAAAATACTAAGCCATATTATTACTGAACAACTTATATGCTCCAATTCTGGGTTAAATTCAATAAATATTTTGCATCTTTTACAGATTTAACAGAATAATTACTTATATCTAAATATGTCTTTACATAATAAACAATATTTAGATAGGCACTTACTGAATATCCCAGTTCACTGGCATTAATACATATCTGCTGACATTTCGGTAATCTTTTTCGGAGAGGATTTCAAAAAGAGACAACATGGACAATAATCATTTACATGTTTTCTTTAGCCAACTTGATTCTCTACTTTTAGTTCACTTCAACAGTTAACATTTAATAATTACTAGCAAGTATAGAGTACTGAATGTGTTGCGAATGAAGATAAAAGCTAATTTATTTACACTTTACAAAACAATTATTTTACAATTTAAAAAAACCTTTTCAGCATTCTCTGGTTCTTCAAAGTTTACAAATCCAAAGCCTTTAGATTTTCCAAGCTCATCAGTCATTACCTATAACACAAGTTACATATGTAAAATTAATGAAAATAAAATACAAAATAAATATTATTTAGCATAAAATGAACACAATTTATCTTTTGCAAAATCAAAAAGCTATGCATAACATTAAAAACTGCATACAGAAACTATAATTTACATATCTGCACAGAAATTTATATTAGTAAATTTATAAGCTAAGGCAACCATTTAAAAACCATTGCTCTGGTTTTTTTCAAAAATTTCTTATAAACCATGTGCATATTCTTTACAATGAATTTTTTTTAAATTTTCAGCATTCTTATTAAATATAGACAGCTAAATGTACACTATTAAATTACAAGATTTAGCAAAGATGTAAAATAAGGGCTTATAATAAGTCAGACATATGATCCTATTTGACAAGGTCCAATGATTAAAGCATTTAGAGATATCATTAAAATTGACCTCAAGAAATACATTCATATTTTGGAAATTGGTCCGGCTAAAGTGAAGTATAGGCTGTATGCCAAATTTGGCAACTTTGTTATTAGATAACAAATTGGAACTTGACAACCTTATTTTTCTTATAACTCAAAGCAACAGGATTGTAGAATATTACTCTCTCCCATCATGTCTTCTCCATTTTTAATTTTGATTTATTTATCAAGTGCCATATTTTGTTTTTGATTTATTTATCAAGTGATTCTGATTTATTTATCAAGTGCCGTATTTGCCCAAATGTATTCTCATAAAAACATCACATTTTGGATAACTTACAGCTAAAAATTAGTTTACCTAATTTTAATGACTCATCAAAATTAATTCTTCCTTGTGGATATTAACAATGATTAAATAAAAACAGCCAGTTATTTCTAACTACATGATTTCTATTTTCCACACACCTCTTCTCAAACCAAATTATGAACTAAAGGTTTTTACATTATCATTTATGTCATCAACCACTTCATGTTAAGCAATTAACTTGAATATTTTCTTTACAAGTGATAATTCTAAAGCATTTTGTAGATTTAAAACAAAAACTTTCATGCACTACAAAATCCAAACACCCCAAAATATCAGATACACCAGAAAATATTATGCTTTTACATATGAAAAAACAAACAACTCTCTCATGCAAGAAGCTCTCACTATAATGATCTGCTAATCTCTACAGCATTCAGCATAAAAGCCAAACTTTCAGTAATTTTCTTAAATGAATAGACTTTTAATTTCATAAATTTTTCTCTATTAAATATTATTTTTGCTGGGAAATTTGCATTTCTAGTTTGTGGCTGTGTTGTTGTTGTTACTAATCTCCATGACTAGTAATATACTAGACGAGGTCCACGAGTCCATTCACCTTTAAAAAATCAAAAACAAGCTTAGGAGACCCGTAAAGGTCCACAAGAAACAACTCCAGGCACTCAAGGATATGAGTCGGTGATGCGGGTGCATTGTGACACTTAGAACAAATTGGGTGCACCTCGGTACCACTCTCAAAAGTAAGTGCCCTCAGGTGCCCACTGAAGAATCGGGAAAGTGTTGTCTGAACACATCTTTCGCAATCCATAGCAAGGGATCTTCCAGGACAATCAGCTTGATATCAGGGATGACATGGGGAATGAGCCAAATTTGCCTGTCAGCATGTCTTCTAATGGAATGCAGTTCAAGATATGCCAGTGAATTGATAATTGGCAAAGGTTCTTCAGAAGCCTCCTTCGCCAGAATGTCTGCCATTTCATTCCCCCATATACCAACATGGGAAGGAATCCACTGAAGATGCACTTCACAGAGTGACGAGACCTGCCTAAGTTTGCTAAGAATTGCGGCTCCAGCCCTATCACCAACTCTTTGCCAGTTTGAAAATATTTGATAGCACTACGACTGTCAGACAAAATCCATACTGCCTTAAGATCTGTAAAGTACAAAACAGCATTTAGTCCCTCTTCGATGGTTATAAGCTCACTCTTAAAAACCGAACTGAAGTCAGAATTTCTTTTCTTTATTTTAACAATATTTCCATTTGTGCATTTAATGACAACACCACTACCGGAGTGATCCAGATCAAGGCTTTACCCCTGATGCCAAAATCTTTGTAGAGTTTAACTATTAGTTTATGTTTCCAGACACGGTCAACGCCTTTTACAAGTCTAGAAAAGACGTCACAGTATGATTGGTAAATCGTTTGTTTTGGGCATCTCTAATCTTCTGGTTGAGAAAGACCAATTGATCAGTGGTGCTATGACCTCTTCTGAAACCGTATTGTTCTTTTGGTAGGAGGTCGTGGGTGTCCAGGTGAAAGAGCAACCGCCCCATGATAATTTTTTCCATGACTTTACATGCAATGCTGGTTAGGGCAATGGGTCTAAAGCTCCCATTGCCCTAACCAGCCGTTTGTGGCTCTGCTGAGCAGAAAAGGGTAAAGTAGATAATTCATGGTAGAATCCCCAAAGTAGTTGAAGATTGTGCATCCTTCCAGTGTAGTTGAAGATTGTGTGTCCTTCCAATGTGGGACTGTGTGTCTTCCCAGTGGTCTTATCGATGTGGCCAACAGCCATGAATCATTCTGTGGTGTGTCAATTTCAAGGCAGGAAAACTTGCAGTGGAATGTAGCTATGGAAGACTAGATTATAACAGGAATCTAGCACAGTATCTACTTTATAATCTATCTACTTTTATTGATAATTTACTATGCCACCAAGTATCTGCCAAACAAACTGAACTGTCAAGCAGACTCAACTTATGTTATACATGTCAAGTACATTCATCTATTATTTATCATATGGTTTTAGTAATGTGTCATAGTCTGACATAATTTGTTCATCTGTTTTGTATAACTCCGGGAAAGCCAACCATTAAAATCTTATGTTTTCAACTTACAGCAAATGTACTCACTCCTTTGGTAGGAAACCATGTTTTACACTACTGTGTATCACTCTCAATAACCTTGAAAAATTCCAAACCACAATTCTGAAACAGTAATAGCTGTTAATTTATTTAACAAGCTTAACTTTTAAGTTTCATTTTTCTTGAAAACTTACTCTGGAAGACATTCTCTAAGAGCATAACAAATATTTAAGCTCATCAAATATGAAACCTAATAATCTAATCAGTTTCTTAAATTTTAGAGATGAAATTCTACAAATGAACAGCGACTGAAAATCAATATTAAACCAGACATAACTATATAAGGGTGAAAAAGAAACACTCATTCTAATTTCCATGTTATAATAAAAATATATAAAAACCTTGGCACTTGTTATTTTTCCATACTTCTCAAACAGCTCTCTCAGCTTTACATCATCAAGATCATCACCAAAGTTCTTGATATAAACATTCATGAAGTGGTGAGCTTTTTCACCAAAGAGCTTCTCACGCTCTTTACGGGGGATGAATTTTCCAACAAAACTAGAGAAGATGAAAACTAATTTGAAATCTGTATCAACATTGCTGGTTCAAAATACACATTCATAATCAGATGATCAAATACTACACCTCTAATTAGTAAGTTAAATTAATCAAGTTTGTACACTTTAATATATTAAGTATTTAAATTCTCAAATGTCAAAATATTTTTTTTTACATCTAACAATGATTAAACACCACAAAAAATAAACGTGTTTTTTTCCCCCCCAAAAAAAATTAATTTACAGTTTTAGTGCAAATGAAGCTAATAAAAAGTACGCTGAAAATCAAATTAGATATGATAAAAATATTTTTTAAATGAAGAATCACAATAACTATTTCTTATTGAGTAATTCATTAGTACAGAAGTAGATTATATCCAAACATAAAAAAAGCACAGATAGTTGATAAAATTATGTTCAATATCGAGACCTCCAGCCAAATATAAATAAAAATAATAAAAAATACCCCTATTGTAAAGTTTAGGAATACAGAATATAATGTGAACAAGTGGGATTCTTCTCAGACTATCTGAGATTTCTACATGTGATTTTAAAATGCCTGCTGGCTAAGAAGTAACATGATTTCCAATAAAGATGCATCAACTGATTGACATTTTAATGCTGGCAAGGATCACACTTTTAGCTCTTGGCTGGTTGATGGGGCCCCCTACAATCTCTACGAGTCCCAAATTTTGCTGCCCAGTATTTCCATAAATTCTAAAAATGTTGTCACACATAAATTCTATTATCCAGTACCTCTCCTAAATTCTAAAAATTTTGCCATTCCTAATTTTTGATACTTGGTTTTAAAATTTTGCTGCCCTTATGTTCGGATTCTCAGTTGCTCCTGCTCTAGCACTAGCCCTATGTATAGAGGGGCCTAGCATTTTTCTATTTGATTTAAACAATTATGTTCTCATGTTCTCATCTTCTTATTAGATTTAAATTAATGACCTAAAATCCAGAAATTTCCAAAAGCATTGAAGTTCCAACAATTCTGGATGCAAGACTTTGTACTGTATTTACATTTTTGATAACTTTTATAAACTACATCATTTACAGGTACAGCTTTAATACAAATTCTAATGAAAAAAAACTTATCTCGTATCTATCTTACTACTACTGTTACAGCTTTCCCATATTTTAAATTCTTCATTAAAAGACATTTTCAATTTTATCACGTGGCTCGAAATTCAAAGTGGCAAAATTCAAATTATTAGGGAAATTTAATTCAATCTTAAAGTTTGCCCAACGCCTAGGTTCATGAAACTATTTCATTTATTATGTAATAAATAAGGATGATAAATTAATAGAAAAGAAAATCCTACATCATTTTTGCTCCAGCAGCATCACAATAGGGTTGAACAACAGAATTTCAATGAACTGTTACAATACAAATGGTTTGGCATTACAGATAGAGGCATAAACACTATGCTAATCTTTTTAGTGTTTTATGCATTTTTATAATTTAGTACAAATGTTAAAAACTTGTTATAAACTTACACTTTTCTTCCATTAAGAAGCAAGCCATTAACTTTCATGATCGCATTATTTGCTGCTTCTTCAGTTTCAAAATGAACAAAACCATATCCTTTTGAAGTGCTCTCCTCATCAGTTGCTACCTATTAAAATATAAACATGTTATAAGTAACTACTACAGTCAAAAGTCGTTAATTCGGACTCCCATAATCCGGAATGATCTATAATCCGGACCTCAAAGCTACAAACTTTCTGCGCATGCGTCGCTTTGACGCACGCGCATAGGCGTTTACGCGGGCGCGTAAGACCTTTACTGCTGCAAATATGTGTGTGCATATGTGCATTTAATATATAATGGACGGTATAAGCTAAGCTAAAATTATCTAATTCAGTTAATGTTGCAGATTGCGTTGTTCATTAATCTTCGAATTGGATCCGGCTTATTATTTTTTGCAGACTGTTAGAGCAAACTTTTTAAAAAGTAAGCTTGAACTTTCGATTATGTCAAATAGAATTTCCGATATATATTTACTAATATGTAAAGGATTTACAAAGCGAAAGTATGTTTCGAAATCCGAAATCTGTTTATCAATTTCACGCTGCTCTGCGGCGGGAAGGGGGGGGAAACGCTGCTTCACGCAATGAATTGGAAGTTGATCTGTCAGCACTATCCTTATCTTCACGGCAGATGTTTTTATTTTATTTGGCTTATAATTCCTTACTAAATGTAGTATTTCATGTCATGTACTCCGTCTTTGATATGATTTAAAGCAATTATAGGACTTGAACAGCAGAACTTTGTAACTAAACAAGAAATTATGTCTGTTTAATAGAATTAAAGGGAAAGTATTATCACATGAAACGAAGCAACTTAAACAACTTACATTGAAAGAAATGTTTTAATAAAGTAAACAATAAATATTAAGCTTTTTTTTTGTAAATTTTGATACCCTATAGATCATAATTGTTCTTTATTTCATAAATTACGGTTTCATATTTTTAATTTTGTAATTTCTGCATGTCATCTTACCAGATTTAAACTGATGATCTATAATCCGGAAAAATCGATAATCCGGAATCGCCGAAGTCCACTTTTGACTGTATATATATATAAAATTATGTATACTATTAAATTACAAGATTTAGCAAAGATGTAAAATAAAGGCTTATAATAAGTCAGACATATGATCCTATTTGACAAGGTGCAACGATTAAAGTATTTAGAGATAGATATCATTAAAATTGACCTCAAGAAATACATTCATATTTTGGAAATTGGTCCGGCTAAAGTGAAGTATAGGCTGTATGCCAAATTTGGCAATTTTGTTATTAGATAACAAATTAGAACTTGACAACCTTATTTTTCTGATAACTCAAAGCAACAGGATTGTGGAATATTACTCTCCACTGTCATGTCTTCCCCATTTTTGGTTTTGATTTATTTATCAAGTGCCGTATTTTGAAATGGTAAAAACATGAACTCTCTTTTACTTTCTTAACACTAGAATATTTGATTAATAAGTTTCAATTATCATAATCATGGCTGATGCACAATGAGGAAGCTGTGAGTGATGCCGAGTTTGTGCCATTTGGACTTTTTTAAGCAAAAATATATTGTTGCATAGGGAGAACAACAGCACAAAAAGAAATTAAAGAAGGATTTCTCAAAAGGTATTAGCTTCATTTAATAATTTAAAATTTGCTTTTAAAACTCTTGACATGTTGATAAGGCTTGCTGACCTTACAATAGATCAATAATTTGACTTTTTTTTTTTTTTTTTTTTAAGTTACTAAAATCATTAACTTGCACCCAATAAGTAACTTTTACCATCAGTCCAATATAGTTCCTGAATACCATTTCCAAATAGCACTACAAGGTCATTCAATCTTAGGAAGACCTATGCCCATTAACAAAAACAACTGTGGTAAAAGTATATTTAAGGGTACTCCTTGGCAGTTTTTGGCAGTACATGGATACCGAGTGCCGCTACGCAAGCCAAAAAATTGCACAAACTCGGTATCCATGTACACATCGACCTATTTTCACTTAAAAAAAACATCCCAGAATTACACAAAAATGGCATTGTGCACTCCCTTGACTTTATCCATGAACACATCGACCTATTTTCACTTAAAATGTCAAAGAAGCAACCAATTCTACAGTAGAGGCAGACAAAAAATCATAATCTCAATAAACTACATTTTAAACCAAACAATAAAATAACATAAAAAAGGAAAAACAGTAAAAGTATAGTTTAGGGTACCATTTGGAGAAACTTGGCAATTTTTGGCGGTAAATTGATACTGATTTTGTGCAATTCTTTGACTTGTTATTTTGGCTTGCGAAGCGGCGATAAATCGCAAAAATCGCCGCTACACAAACCCAAAATAACAACACAAACAATTGCATAAACTCGGTATCCATGTACACATCGACTTATTTTCACCTAAAAAAAACCTGAATTGCACAAAAATGGCATTGTGCACTCCTTTGACTTTATCCATGTACACGTCGAACTATTTTCACTTAAAAAAATCTACGAATTGCACAAAAATGGCATTGCGCACTCTTTTAACTTTATCCATGTACACGTCGACCTATTTTCACTTAAAAAGGAGCACCAAATTCTACAATATAGGCAAACAAAAAATACATAATCTCAATAAAATACATTTTAAACCAAACAATAAAATAACATAAAAAAGGAAAAACATGTTATACATTTAAGCACTACCAAAAGCAAATATTCACTTACCATGATTTTAGAATTTGCTTTGTACACTCAGAGCCACGTAAAAATCAAAATTCAATCATACTCAAATGGCTTTTCTCAAACCAGGTACTCTTTCTGATCGAACGCTTCACATAGTGACCATCTGAACCTTTCTTCCTACAAACCCATTCAAATCCATCTAAAAGGTTTTTACGTTCGACTAGACGCATATCCTTCCTACATACAGGACACTTATAATGGCTACTAAGTAAACCTTCATTTACACACCAGTCAATTAAAGCTCTTTTCCCCTTTCGCTCCAAATCGTACAGAAATTAATCTTACTACATTCGGTCATTCTACTGTCTAAAGAATCAAACCAACACACACCACAAAAACGCTTACAAAAGATCTCATGATTCAAAATTTCCCAGAATCATGCACTTGATTACGTCACAATAGGGTTTCCATAACAGTCAACTACTCAGGCTACCATAAATGAAACAACTAGGCGATAAATCAAACAACTTCGTCATAATACAAAGGGGTACCTTAAAGTCTACTCTACCTGGAAAAACTTGTTATGCATATAAGCACTACACAAAGCAAATATCCACTTACCTCATTTAGAAATTTTTTCGTCTTCAGTCATACAAAATTCCTTAAGAGCATCCAAAAACTTCCTAAAATTATCTAATCTCGAATCCATATATTGGTGTCACCATATAAATTCACAAAAATAAGAGTAAAAAGTATCATAAGTAGTTCCAGACTGTCTGGAAAATGGCTACTAAGTAAACCTTCATTTACACACCAGTCAATGAATGCACTTTTTCCCTTTTCTTTCCAAATCATACAGAAACTTCAAATTAATCTTACTACATTCAGCCATTCTACCGTCTAAACAATGAAACGAGCAATGTATTTCCTAACAATACATACCACAAAAGCCCTTACAAAACATTCCACGATTCAAAATTTCTCGGAATAATGCAAACGATTATGTCATAACAGGGTTTTCATAACATTCAACTACTCAGGTTACCATAAATGAAACAACAACTTGGAGATAAATGAAACAACAACTTCATGATAATACAAGAGGTACTCTAAAGTCAACTCTAACCACAACTGTTGACTGGAATAGTTATAAAAGATCTTTTCAAAGTATTAAATAAAGAATCTGATTGATGAACAGTTGACAAAAGCAAAATAATAAAAACAAACAAGTTCTTTTCATAAATAGTATGTGAGCTGTCCAGTCATGATGTCAAAAAAAAATCATTAATTCAATGCAAAAAAGAGCTTTAAACAAAACAGTTCTTCAGCAAGATATACACAGAAATTCATTTACATATGAAAAAGTGCAAAAACTCTCAACAGAAATGAATTCAGAACATGTTGAGAAAGATACTACTATACATTTTATACAACACCAGGCAAATGCAGAAAGATGGATACAGTCATTTATATATAAATCAAATTAATTTTTACCAAGAAGAAAAAGGTTTCCACATTCAAATGATAAAGATTATGGAATTCCACAAAACAGCAGAATGAAAAGAAACAAGGTAAAGCTCAACATAACTTTATATCAAACCTAGCAAGATCCAAACAAGACAAATCACAGGGATGAAAAGCTTTTAAAACAATATTAACATCAACTGCAGATAAGAAATATGTGAAAAGCTGTAAGCAAAAAATAAATATAATTTGGTAAAATTCTAGTATACGGTACGGCCTTGCTACGATTTTGAAACCTTTTGTCAAAACCAAAATGACTCGTTTGTACGGCTCATCATAAATACTGCATTAAGTGCTCATCATAATGTTGCCAAATCCCGTGTACTAGGAGTAAACCTCATTTTCTGATGCTTAGTGTAACATTTCATTTTAAATTTTATTTGATTTGGATTGTCTTAATCTACTGTACCTTTATAGACAGGGCCGTTCCTAGCAGAAGTGCAGCACATAAAAGTATATGCGCAGCCAAAGTCAGGGGCAGCTAGACACTAGTGATACCATGCCTAAATTTTAAATTCATTGTAAGTACTTGTCATATGTAAGTAATGTAAGTACTTAGTGAGCATGAAAAAAAAATTTATTAAGCATTGAGCATTTTGTTTTTAAATTTGGGGGCGGCAATCTTAAGAAAGTATGCGGGCAGCCAATGACCTGGGAACGCTTCTGTTTATAGAGCTTTATATAAAGATTTAGCCAACATTTCATCAGTAAATATTTATATTTAATTTTATTTTGCATGAATATATGGGACATTACTAATTTTATTCTTACAATGGTGTGTGCATTAATTATTAATTTCATATTTTTATAAAATTAACAAAACAGAGTGATGGCTAAATAAATAAGCAAAAAAGTAAAGAAGCTTTACATATGTCTTATTGCTTACATAAAAACTTTAGAATGACAAAAAATAACAGTGATGCCAGATGCATAAAACATAATAATACAACAAAACAATGATGCAACTAACTGCACATAACATCAATTAAATGCTGGATTCTCAACAATATTCAGTTGTGTTTAAAAGGATTTCAAAAATTTAAAGTTTTCCTTCTCCACTCAGGATTTTCTCAATATGAAATAATAAAAAATGGCAAGATAAAAGTAGCCAAAGAATATAAAGTATAGAGAATGGTAATTAAATATGGTGAAATTTTAGTCCAGGGACTTAATTCATTCCTGAAGGTCATTTGTAAACAAACATTTTTTTTTTACAGAAATTAATGTAAAATGGATTAATTCATTCCTGGATTACAGATGATTGCTTATTTAAACTTTGCAGAACTTTGTGCACAAATTTATAATCCCAAAATGATTTTTTTTGGCTTATATATGATAAACACTGAATTAAACAGATATATACATAAAAATTCAATTTTGTTGTACCTGTATGAAGAAAACTGCTGGCATAATCAAAAAATGATGAGTTAGATATTTCCACACAAGGAGGCATAGTTCATGATGCAAGGTAGGTGTGATTTGTATACTTGCGGGCAATTTGGCTGCTCTCCATTAACAATGTAACAGCTAAGTACAAAACTGTAAATGGCAATTTATAAATAAAAAATGTAACAGCTAAGTTTAAAACTGTAAGTGGCAATTTATGTTCTTATAGCTTACATTAATGACATATCAGCCACCCAACTGGTACAGTAGTTAACTTTGCTGACTGCCTGCCGAAGGGCCCAGATCGAATCCCGGAGAAGACAAGGATGTTTGTAAATGTAATAGTGTTTGTGGGGCATGGGGGCACTCTAAATATGCAACGAGCTGAAAGTCCTCTTGAGAGGTTGGTGGTAAGAGACCCTTGGACCTGTTCCCCCTGGGGTGCTATCCATTTAAATTGGGGGCAAAACTGAACTAAATTGCACTGTCACCTGTAAGGTGTTCAAGCCTGTTGCTAACAAAAGGCATATCTTGCACTTCTTGCCATGAGGAATTTCGTGGGGTTGAGCTAACTATAGGTCAGACAAGTGAGCATTAGTAATAACAACAATGGCACATCAAAAGTTGCGAATTTAACTTTAAGCATGAACAAGGTTTATGTTGTGTACTTGCCGAAAGACCACTGTTAAAACTTTTAAGCTTGAAAATTTAGAACTGATAGTTTAAGTGGTTTAATCCTGGCATACGGTATGCACAGGATTTGGTGACATTATGATAAGCAGTAAACAAATCATTTGGTGTTGGCAACAATTTTCGAAATCGCGCCAAGGCCGTACCGTATATTAAAATTTTACTGGAAATGAAATTTGCATGATTCAAATTTCATTAATTTAATAAAATGTATTGCTAAAAGAAACCTTCTCTGGTTAAAGACTAAAGTTAAATACAAAGATTCATCATTGTAGTGGGAGACCGGAAGGTGTTAAAAAAAATTAGGCGAGTTAGTAGCTGTGTTACTCTATGAGAATCAAAATAAGACAAATAAGAAGGTAATCTCAATAAGGGAAAACCTCAATGTGTTGCAGCATGCACTCCAATGCTAGAGAGCATACATCAAGAAAGTGAAGTGACTGTAATGAATATGCATATCATTTAAATACATTACGTGTAAAAAACACACTAGTTATTTAAGAATGATTACAATCATGAATTATATCTGCAATAAATTAATGTCAACAAAATCAAGTTAAAATTCTTTTGAAACAAAAGTTCTTCAATAAATAATTAGTTTTAATGGATTTTAGGAGTTAGTTTCCAGTCAAAAGCCATATCCGGAAACAGATGTAAAAATACTAAAGCAAAAGTACATTTGATACATTTTTAAAAAAGGACTTACTTTACATGATAAGATATTTCCAAAGGCAGAGAATGTGTCATACAGCACTTTGTTATCAATAGTTTTGTCCAGGTTCTTTACGAAGACATTACCTACACCTGATTTTCTTAGAGATGGATCTCGTTGTGACCACATGATTTTAATTGGCCTTCCTCTGATGGTGTCAAAGTTCATTGTGTCTAAGGCCCTTTCAGCTTAATTAAAGAAATAACACTAAAATTAGAATTATATATGTTCTCTTACCATGAAATAAAAATAGGGAAATTTTAACTATTTAAACATTCATATTATCATACTTTTTATATTCCAAATTGAAACATCAGAAAATCTCTGGTTTTAATTTGTCTATACGTACATTTACATTCAAGAACAAGCACAACTGCATGCAAGCAGTATGTAATTACATAGCTACCTACCCATGACAGAATAAAACATATTTGCCCACAATTAGATGAATACCTTAGCAACACAGCTGGCCAGATGTTCGACTTTAATCACAATATATATGAAAATAAATTTATACTTTAAATTACTGCCAATAACAAAAAAGATAAATAATTTAAAATATACTTACCGTCAACAGGCGGCTGAAAATTAACATAGGCACACCCAAGCGAGCGACGTGTAATGAAATCTCTGCAAACTCTTATGGAAAGAACTGGTCCTGCTGTCGAAAATTTTTCAAAAAGCATAGCCTCTGTAACATCCGCATGTAGATTTTCAACATATAAAGAAGCTATGGGATAATTTGGCCCACTCGGATTCATTTTGTTCACGAAAACGTATAGTTCAGCCTACAATAGAAGTAATTTCCTATGCAAGAGGGGATTCCCCTTTCTGCCTTAAGTTATTTTAAAACTATTTTAAATATTTTAAGACTTTTATTTAGCATTTTTTATTATTTAAAAAAAATTTCTGGCGCACGAATCAGTAAAATATTTTTTGTTTATAATTTAAAAAATTTTTTAACTTCGCACATGGAACCTCGTCAGTGACTCTAGAAAGTGTGACTCTTTGACTCTTTGATAGTGGAGTGGTTATACAATAGCTGTACTTTGTTGTAACCTAATGGAATTCCACATTGGGCATAATGATGGAAGTTCTGATTTGGTACCCTCAGAATGATCTTGATGGGGATAAAAGAAGAGGAGGTGAGTCTTCGATAACGCGGTAAACATTACTTTCGCTGGATGAGAGTGGTGAGAATTCTGTTTTGTAAACAGCGTTGACGATGATGCTGGCGCCATCTATGGACGGCTGAGGGAAACATGCATTAGTGAGAAATTCAGTTATTTTGGAATAAAATACTATTGTGAATGCGTTGCATGTGTTGTAATGAAAATGTAGTATTAAAAGTAAGAATAGCAGTGATGAAAAACGGAGATGATATTGTCCTGGCAGAATATGGTGAAGCGATGATCTAACACTATAAATCGGAAACACATTCACAATGCTGAATGTTACCTCGTTTTCGCAAGACAAGATGACCAACATAGTACTTACCAGGGCTTGATTTCTGTAGGGTTACCATCCCCCCCCCTCAAATTTCTTCAGCGCTTCAGTTTCTCCTCCTCTAGCATGCGTGATAAGTTCTAAGGCTATGTGCATATTTTGATTTATTAAAAGAATTTATTTTTAGAAATGGGTGTTTAGCAGTTACCAAGACCCAAAAAATTCAAAAACAGAAGTTCCGGAGCCCTCTTGAAGGCGTTCAGGAAGAAGGAGGAAAATAAATAAATAAAATAGTAATTAAATTTAAATTAAAAATTCAATAAAAATAAGGCTATTAATAAAAATTTAATAAATTATTAAATTAATTACAAATAGTTAAATAAAAGAAATACAATTTCGGACCTCCTCTTATTTGGGGCTCCGAATGGACTTAAAATTTACTTAAGAAGACACTACTAAGGACCTAAGGATTAAGAACCTAAATTTTTATTACTTATATAAATTAAATATTGCTAGCTGGTAATATTAAGAAGTTATTTTGGAGAATTAAAATATTGTTGCGTGCGTACGGGTTCGTTATGAAATGAATGCACAAGTCCGATGAAAAATGAACAAAATTTATTATTATTCCAACAAAAATGCTTAAATTTCCTCGGATATTCGTGCAGTACTACAATATCTCACAGTCTTTTAACTACTCAAACGTTCAAGAGAACTTAATTCAAAACAGGTAAAGAAAATCCGCGAATTCGCTACAGTCAACAAGAGCAATTTTCTAAACAAACTCTTAAAACAACAACAAACTATAAATAACAACAACCGAATTGAGAGGTTTTCCTCCTTTTTATAAGATTTTAAATCGCGCGCGAGAAAATTTCTGGAATTTTCTCTAAAGCAAGAAGATATATTTATTAATTAAATTTTAAATGCACGTGCTCTTGTATTTTTAATTTTCCCGCTTAGCTTTCCTTTAATATTCATCACGCGCTGCACTGCACAAGGAAATAAAACAATTTAATTTATAATTTTGACTTTGACTTATGACTTACTTTTTTCTGGTCATTAACTACTAAAGAGTTTTCGCCAGTAGATCGCATTAAAGTGCACTAGGCAAAGATATTTTCAAATAAATGGTACTAGGGAAGTACCAACACCCGTGGGCGAAGAAAATTCAGCTGCGTGAGCAGGCATATCTTAATACTTACGAAAGTAGGCGTTCATCATAAAAATTGTGCAGTGGTAAGCAATGGCATTAAATTGAAGCATGCAGGCAGGTTCAGTGAGTTGTATGGCAAATGCAGGTGGTGAGTGCAATATAGCTAGTAAGAGTGCAGGATAAGCAATAGTGAGACATCATGAAAATGGCGCGAAGACAGTTTGAAGCTGTGAATGGCATAAGAGTTCAAAGTCCTTCAGAAGTATGCAGTAGCTAGATAGGCCGTAAAAAGTTCAAAAGTTCGTAGAATCATACGATAAAGTAAAAATTCATACAAAATAATTTAAAAATGAAATAGTAACATAAAAATCTTGAATAAAAAATTTTTCTTGATTAACATAAGATGCAACACAAATAATAGGATAGAGTCCAATTTCAGAGTTCAAGTAAATTTTAAAATTAAAATTTACAAGTTACCACCATGAACGAATTGTGATGAATTGTCCTTGGGCGTTTGACAGTGTATTCAATGGTTGGATCATAATCCAACATTTGTTTAATTGCGTTATACTGACTATGCTTCATCTTCTCGAAGAAGTTGTGAGCTGTCATGAGTATAAAGTTATGCACAGATGGAATATCCAGGTCGTTATGAATTATAGAGTTTCTCACGTACCAAGGTGCATTCACAATGCTACGTAGAATTTTATTTTGAAGTATATCCAATTTTTTGCGCTCAGTTTTATTGGCGATTGCCCAGGCCGGCACTGCATATAGCATGATCGGTCGAATTAGAGATATGTAAAGCATTTTCTTTATTTTTAGACTGAGCTTCGATTTTTTGCCGATAATAGGATAAATTGCCATGTAGGCTGCATTTGCTTTGTTTAAGATATAAGAAATATGATCTTTGAAGTTGAGAGACTTATCTATGTAAACACCTAAATATTTATAGGAATTAGCTACAGGGATTAGAGTTCTATCTAAGTAGATATCAGTATTAACTCTTAATCTTGTTTTGTATCTCCGATAGAGCACAATACAACATTTAGAGGCGTTGAGCTTAATTTTCCAAGTCTTGCACCAGTGATTGATCATATTGAGATGCATTTGTAAATTACTTAGAGCGAGCTGGGGACTTCTGGATTCAGTCAGTACTACAGTGTCGTCAGCATATTTGAGTATTTTCGTGTTGAATGGGTGCGGGAAATCATTGATATAAACATTATAGAGCCGGGGGGAAAGAACGGATCCGGATCCTTGCGGGACCCCGCTATGAATTCTTTTTCTGACAGATAAGGCGTCACCGCAGCGAACTTGAAAAGTCCTGTTTTTCAGATAGGAACTAATGAGTTTTACGAAACTGTTTGGAAGCATAAAATTATTCAATTTATGCAGGAGGCCTGCATGCCACACTCTATCAAAGGCCTTTTCGAAGTCGAGATAGCATGCAGCCACCCCGTTTTTCTTAGTAAAGGCTTGCGAAACAAATTCCACCAAATTGAGAATTTGATGAGTCGTGCAGTGTCCACTGCGGAAGCCGAATTGCAGATCATCTATTAAATTGAGTCTTTCGAGATGGTTAGTGAGCCTTGAGCAGAGGATTTTCTCAAATACTTTTCCTAATGAAGGTAAAAGACTGATAGGTCTGTAGGAAGTGACGAGGTTAGTTAGGATCTTTCTTTGGTTTTAAGATATTGACTATTATTGGAGTGTTTCCATTGCTGAGGGAAATAATTATTTCGGATGCAGGCATTAAAAATATTGACTATGTTAGTAATACAACGTCTAGGAAGGGCTTTAAGTGCTTCATTGCTAATCTGATCATAGCCTTTGGCTTTCCTTGGCTTGAGTTTGTGAATAATTTCTCTTACTTCTCTTGGTGAAGTAAAGGGAATGAAATTTGTTATAGGATAATTGTTAATACTGTCAATGGTAAAATTAACTTCTTCTTCTTCTTGGGAGTTATTCTCAGGCGGGTGAGGTTGAAATATTTTCTCTAATTCATTAGCCATTATATTAGCAATCTCGTCCTCAGATTGATAGGAGATTCCCATGTGATGAATTGCATGAGTTTGATTTGGTCTGCTATTTCTTAGAGAGATTTAGCAATTTTCCATACTGCTTGATCTTGAGGATCCAGGTTTGATAGGAGAAAGTCCCATTTTTTGTTTCTGAATTCCATAATTTCATGCTTGATTTTCCTGTTTAAAAAGTTGATGTGCCTTTGCCTTTTGGCACGAGGGTCTGCGGACCGCTGCCATTCCTTATGTTTTCTATTCTTCTCTGTAATAATATCTTTTATATATTTAGGAAGGGAGAGAAAATTAGTGCTTTTGCAGGGATAAGTCGCATTATTGATTGCATCTTTCATTTTAGTGGTGAATTTATAAATTTCATCTTCGATATCACCGCAATGATTATAATTATTTCTGCAATTATAGTCTTTCATAGTATCAGAGAATTGGGTCCAATTTATCTTAGTTCTGTGTTTCTTTAACGGGGGATAAAAGCCATAAAAGTCGAAGTTCACTGGAAGATGATCAGAATTTAAGTCCGTTATTACTTCTAAGAGAGGGGTATGAGGAATATTTTTAAGAAGTACAATGTCCAAAACTTCGCCGTTTCCGTTAGCACCAAATCTTGTTGGAGAAGTGGGAGCAGCAGCAAAATTGAGGTCGTTGCTAATTAAATAGTTATGTAAAATGTTTCCATTGCTTTTAGATCCTCTAGAATTCCAGGCATTATGCTTTGCGTTCAATCAAGTCCCCTGCGATGATAGTCGGGAAGTTGGTGGAGGTTAATATATCCAGGTCATTATTAGTCATCACATTATTAGGAGGATTGTAAATAGAAATAAATAGGTAGGCTTCATTTAAAGCAGTATAAATGATAGCTGAAGTAAATTCGAGCAGATTATTGTGAGGAAGATCATATTCAGTATGCTTTAAGTGATTTTTAATGATAATTGCAATACCACCCCATCTACTTCGGGTTCTGTCTTTCCTTATAATATTGTAGCCGTTTATTTTAAATTTATCGCAAGCTTTA